TATGTGTGGAAAAAAAAAAAAAAAAAATATATATATATACTGTATATATGTGCGATTTTTCACTTCCTCATTTTGAGTGTCATTTTTGTCAAAAGCCTCAGGGTGCCTAAGAACCGCTGTCACTATCAGCATTTAATTTGTTCTTTCTTATCTTGCAGTTTCCTGTTTGCGATAAATCACACATAAAGCATAACGAGCTGACAGGAGACAACGTTGGTCCACTTATTCTTAAGAAGAAGACTCTGTAGCCCTCCTGCTTTGGCCCATATTACATTTATAGTTTTCTCCACTGAAAAACCTACTGTAATTTAGTTTGTTGTACTTACCCAAATCTATTTCCAACTTGTTGCTGTGGTATAGAGACGCATATAGCTGTCAATTCCGACTTTAATGCTCAAGATATTGTGGTTGATCTGACAGATTAAGTATATACCTTTGTGTTACATTGCTCTGGTGTATTTACTTTTTATACTTCGCAAATGTAGTAGATTTTTTTGTGCAATATAGCTTGGCCATAGCGAAAAATGGCGATTTTTGTCACCAATCAGTCGTCTTGGCCATGAAAGTGTCTTTTCTGTTCTTTAATCTGCATCTAGATTCAGTTTTAATGTTAAGTTGCCTTTTACTATTACTGTTGTGCTGTCATTGTGATAAAAATTGTGTTTGACATTTTCTGAGTGTAATTAAAAAATAATGTTTTACTTATTTGTCATTTTCTGCAGAATTATTCCTAAACCAACAAGAGTTCTACAATGTTTGCTAAATTATTTGAAAGTTTTCAAGTGCAGGATACTAAACTTGACGTGTGTTTCACATTGCATTAGATTGTAACAAATGGTTTCGTCAAAGCTATTGTTATACATTATTCAAATATTACAATATGTATCATAATGTAACAAATAAATGTGGCCTCTTTTCACTTCCACCTGAACCAACATGCTGTAACAATTGCAATGCATATGTATGCATTCATTCCTATTCAGAATAGTTTGACAATCCCTTGGTTCTTTTTTTGTGCCATGTTTCATATCAGATGGCTCCTGTTCATAGGTGTTTTCATAAAAATTACTTAATTGTATGTTAACTGGAATGTGCCTAATGACTTTTGTAAAAATAAAAGGTAACCGTACTTCTTTTACATCCCTCTAAATGCTGTTTTTGTTTTGCTTATCTGTTGTGTTAATAATCAAATAAGTGTGAGTGATGGATATGTGTTGCCATGCCAACAGTCTACTTATTTTTTTTTTCTAAGTTTTTGTTTCTTTTGTGTACTTTTCCTAAAACACACAATGGTGTAACTCTACCACACCAATGCTTGAAAAGTCTTCTCAGAAAGTAACAGTGCTGCTTGTTTACATCTAATTTGCCTTAGATGATATAACAAGATATGCTTTCAAATATGAATGTGGGGGGGGTTTGCCTGTCATTTACTGAAAAGGCAAATGTCATTCATTTTCTGCAGCAATACATCTACAAATAAACTACACATACACCATAGAAATAAAGTTATTGTATAACGATGACAATATAAGAATAAGGTCTTAAATGTAGTCATTTAATTGCTTAAATTAGCAGTGACTGCATGTAGCATTACCATAACCATAACAAAACCACAACACAAAACCTTGTCAATTTGAAGCAGTAAACATAACCCACTAACAGCATTCACAAAATAAGTTATATCGACAATGCCCTTTCACAAGGCTCTGTATAACATTAAAATACACATTTTATCAAAACAATCATGGAGAAAAAAAAATATTCATATAAATATAGTTCATGGAGAGTAACACAATGAACTGTGCAATGCTGTGGCAAATATACCATTTGTCATTCTATTACTACTAATAAAAAATCCTTCTTTACATTCTAAAATCACTTCCACTGTAAACACAAAATGTAACTGAGCTCTGAAGTGACCACAGAATTTTTACAGCAGTATTTGATTGTATGTATAACAGAGCTGACAAAAACCTGCAAAAACTCTGATCAATCTCAGAACACTGATCCATGACAGTGTTCGGAACAGTTATGACCATACTATTCACAATTCTTACTATTGCTGCAGTATATAGTATGCCTAAAATACTTTGATAAACACTACATAAAGACTACATTTACCAAAATGTAACTCTTGCATGAAATACTCTATCCTGCAATGTACTCAACTTAATGGATAAATACCTATTTTGCTACCCTTGTTATTTGATCAGAATGTTATTTTTTTGTTATATATATATATATATAATAAAAAAAAATGACTTAAAATAACAATCGTCAGCTATTGACAATGGTTGAAAGAAATAGGCATGTATAATAGTGAACATTTCTTTGTGTCCAATTCTTTGGTTCAGGGCTATTAATAGCATGAAATTACTTATTAATTAAGCCGTTTTAATGCTTTTTATGTCACAGCTCAGGATAGTCACTTGTGAAGGCTTTTGATGCGTCAGCCAATCAGTGTTGTCATTTTCCTGCAGCTTCAGAGTAACTATTTGCAATTAATGATGTAATTGTCTTTTTAGTTCATGTCACTTACAGTGTAAGCTTAATATACATACACTTTAAGAATGTATTTACACATTATACTTGAATCATAATAAAATTGACATCTGTGGCTTCTCTAAAGGCTTTGAGGACTTAAACATATTATATTATATTTAGTGCGGTCAAACGATTATATTTTCTAAATATATACGGTATGTGTGTGTGTATTTATATATACATAAATATACACGGTACACATACATATATTATGTAAACAAAAACTTTTATTTTGGATGCGATTAATCGTGATTAATTGTTTGACAGCACTAATATTATAGACAAGCTGTGAATATAAATATAAAACTACAGAAGGCTGTATACAGTATATACTGCACAGTGCTCAGTAAATAGTAAGCTAGTATTCCATTCCGAACATAGTCATGACAGCACTGACCACTACACAACTTTCTGTAACACTGATATGCAGTCACTGCAGACTCATCTGTAATATATCTAATGTAACAAATACTATCAACACAGACATAAGCCAGTTAGAAAAAAATAATATTCATAAACATGTTTTTGTACTTGATAGTGCTAACAATGATCCCTATAGTGTTCGATCCTTCAAAATCCCACCTGTAAAAGGAATATTGCGAGTGATTTGAGAGTTTTCATCCACCTTGGAAGGTAAAAAAATAAGAGTTGGGTTCCTTCATCTGAAAAGCGAGTCTGCCACTTTTGCAGTCTGACTTCAGAGGGTCGCAGTAGTAATGAGTTTGAGAATCCACTTTGAAGACAAAAAGGATCATCAGCAGCCTTGGACGTTGGGTTGTCACGTCCCAGAAGCATTTCAGAAACATCACAGGGCACTCTCATACGTCACCGGGGTCCCCGATGCAGATAAAGCACCTTGACTGACAGCTACAATTCAGAAAATGACAAAGCAAACATTCATTTAACACAATGAAGAATGTTAGTACCAAGCAATTGTTAGAGAGATTTCAGTTGCTTTTTACATCTATTTATACTATTTATATACAGAGTAAATAAAAATATGTACAGTAGGCTAGATATAAGTGGGGTTAATTTCATATTTTCACACAGAACATGTTTATGAATTTGAAGAAAACTGACAGGTCTCGGTTATAGAAGCTGGAGCATTTTATGTTTTTTTAACACATTAGCAAAGTGCAATAGCCAGCATTGTACAAACAATAAAGCAAACACAGAGTGAAACAGGACAAGCGGTGACCTGCCAGCATGCAAATTCACCAAGCTGTGGTGAATTTCCATGTGCATCTCATGTCGCATGTTTATCAAAATAGATGAGTTGCTATCCATATATTTTTGATGGCAAGACAACTGCAGAAACCTACTTCAGTATTATTTGCACAGCTATTCAGTTTAGATCTGACCCAAACTCTGTTTACTTTCTACAAAAAGTAGCATCCTAACCATCATGAACCATCGTGACTGATGATGAAAAATTTTTTTGTACACTTTCACGCATACCACAAAAATAGCACTTCTCATGTGAAGAGCAACTAAAGGTCATGTTGCTAAGCTAATGACCCAATGCTGTAAGTATATGAAGATTCTTAAGTTTTTTCCACATTTTTGAAAGTCATATATTATGCTTACCCAGTCTGCATTTGTTTGATTAAAAAATACAGTAAAAACTATTATTTTGTAAAATAATTACAATTTAAAATAACGGTTTTCTTTTTATTTAGTATGTTTGCATCTTTTTGAACATATTTAGTAAAATGTAATTTATTCCCGCGATGGCAAAACTGAATTTTCAACAGCCATTAATCGAGTGTTATAATAATATTTGAATATTACATTATAATAATGTATTATATATTTAATAATAGTATTAAATTTTTATATTTAAATACTTCATTCATAATGCATATATTTTATACACAAATATTTACAAAATAACACATTAGCTATGACACAAAACTGTTTACATCATAGGGACTAGCAGGGATCATCTAGCAGAAAGATGACATGTAATTAAATAATTATTTAATGACAATTTGTGTTCTTAATATTTTATATTCTAACCATCTTATGAAATTGACAAGGTACTTATTCCACCATGTCTCTTAGCTACACAATCTTGGATAAAAATATTTACTAGGACCGCTAGCTCTAGGTGTGGTTAATATGTTCTAATCATTATTTGATTTCAATTGTTTAAAATCAATCAAATAAACTTTTTTTTAAACAAAATTATGTTTCCTGACCAAAATAATTTGTCCAAGCAAAATTTGTGCCAATGATTCCTAAAAATGTTGCCTAGGTGGCAAATGTTGCTCACTCTATATGTGACCTGTGCTGGCAAAATGAGTCACAATGAGCAAATTTTCATTTACCAAAATGTAACTCTTGCATGAAATACTCTATCCTGCAATGTACTCAACTTAATGGATAAATACCTATTTTGCTACCCTTGTTATTTGATCAGAATGTTATTTTTTTGTTATATATATATATATAATAAAAAAAAATGACTTAAAATAACAATCGTCAGCTATTGACAATGGTTGAAAGAAATAGGCATGTATAATAGTGAACATTTCTTTGTGTCCAATTCTTTGGTTCAGGGCTATTAAAAGCATGAAATTACTTATTAATTAAGCCGTTTTAATGCTTTTTATGTCACAGCTCAGGATAGTCACTTGTGAAGGCTTTTGATGCGTCAGCCAATCAGTGTTGTCATTTTCCTGCAGCTTCAGAGTAACTATTTGCAATTAATGATGTAATTGTCTTTTTAGTTCATGTCACTTTATGTGACCTGTGCTGGCAAAATGAGTCACAATGAGCAAATTTTCAAAAAATATAATCTGAAAAAATGTTCGTTAAAATAATCCATGTGACATCAGGGGTTCAACCGTAATTTTACGAAGCTACGGGATTACTTTTTGTACGCAAATAAAATAAAAATAACGGCTTTATTCAACAATTTGTCTCCTCCGAGTCTCCCTAGCGCCATTTTGGATAGTATCTACTGAACGTAAACAATGTACGCTGTTCTGTGTCAGCTGCACCACACGAAAACAATGTATCCGCGTGGCGCAGCTGACACAGAACAGCATATGCCGTTTACGTATGTGATACTCTCCAAAATGGAGCTAAGGAGACACGGAGGAG